TTGCATTACATAGGTGTTTGAATGAAATAAAATTCAAGTATTACATATATAAAAAAGTTTAAGAAATAAATTTATTTTTTATAGGAGGGTGGATATGACGTCTTTGTCCGAGAGCGCCGAATGTCTATTAGTCCTGAAGCCAGGACCTAAAAATCGACCTAGTCGCAGGCGAAGGTTAGATTGAAAATTAGGAAAGTGAATGTTATCCTGAGTAAAACGAACCTTGTCCGTCATTCCAGAGGCACTGCTTTAAAAAAAGGTGGCTGATTAAAAAAATATTAACTTGAGGATCGAAACGGGAAAAATGTGAGAAAACATAATTTTTTCAACTTATATATATGAATTTAGATATGAAAAAAAAAAAAAAAAAATGCTAACGCGGGCCACCAAGGAAAAACTTTTTTAAGCCAAGAGAGTAAGATTTTTTTCGATATTTTTTGTTTTTTTCACCTATAACTTCCAAACGATGTATCAAAGCGAAAAATGTACTCTTTAAGAAATTACAGAACGTTAAACTGTGCGCTGAACGAGTACATAAACTTAATAATTTAATTATGTGGTTAGGTATAAAACCATGGTCAACCAACGCTAATTTTTACTAGATTTGTAAAAAAACTGGTCAATATACTATAAATGGCTCTATAACTTGAAAATAAGTTCCTTAAGAATTAAAATCCATAGAATCGAAGTTGTAGAGAATCACATTTTGCCTCCACTCAATACCAACTATTTTGATGTAGGTCACTTACTCCGAAAAAAAATCTGTAATTTACCGATGGTTAGAAATTGGTAATAAAGGTATACGTGGATTTTCAATATTATAACTATTGGTGTCTATTCTACTGAGTTATTTTTGTTTAGATTCTGTATAAGCCTCTTTTTCACCTCTCAGCAGCGAAGGATTTTGATAAAAGATGAGTCGAAAGATACCGAATTTCATAAAGAAAAAACAAATATCGATTCAAGAAATATAATTGGCCTACAATAAAAATGTCAGTACTCAGTGTACACAAATTTTGATGCTCTACAACTTTGATTCTATGGAGTTTTTCTCTTAGAGAACTCATTTCGTAGTTACAGGGCCAATTATAGTAATTTGTCACAGTTTTTGACAAATTTGATAAAAATCAGCATTGTTTGACAGTGATGGTTTTATACCTTACAACGTAGTCAAATTATAAAGTTTATGTACTAAATCGACGCACAATTTAATGTTCTTTAATTTAATTTAATTTAATTAAAGCATATATTTTTCACTTTGATGCATCGTTTAGGAGTTATAGGTAAAAAAACAAAAATATATCGAAAAGACTTTTTTGGCTGAAAATTTTTTCCTTGGTGGCACGCATTAACAATTTTGTTTTTTACATGTCTAAATCCATAAATACATGTTAAAAGAATAAAAATATTTCTCACATTTTTCGTTTCGATCCTCAAGTTACTGGCCTAATATTCTATAAATTGACCACCATTTTTGGAATTACACACAAACTTTCGCCTGCGATCAGGTAAATTTTTGAGCAATAAGGAGTGCAATGGCTGCCATAAGGGCAATAAGGAGTGCACTGGCTGCCATAAGGGCAATAAGGAGTGCACTGGCTGCCATAAGCCAGGATTCGAACCTGAAACCTTGAGCTACCCCACTCTGAAGTGTTTAAATTAATATTTCTTATATTGTAAAAGATAAAAGTATTCTAGAACGTATTTCATCACGATCATCTGCGATAAATTTTATTTATATCGTTGACATTGCACCCAAAAAAGATTTAAAAATTCATACTTGATGAGGCAAATGAATACGATTATAATAATATGAATGGCCTCATATTAAAGACAGAAATCTGTCCCTTTTAAAAACTTGAGAAAAATCCAATTTTTGTAATATAGATTCCATTTATACCAATTCTAATGATTTATTTTCCATAATTCAACTGGAACATTCTTAAATAAAATAATCAAAAACAGTTCGAATCAAACCTGTAAAACAAAAATTGGGAATGACAGATATCAATCTTTGATATGAGGCCACTCATATCTTTCATATCTAGCAAAGAAAAAAAGCAATAATATTAATTTTAAACAAACAAACAAAAACAATTACAAAATCAAGGTTCTTTGGCTGAAGTTATATGTAAAAAAAAAAAAAAAGATATTGTATTTTTATTGGTGATTTTCATTGTGAATGCATTCCACAACCATATTATTTACAGTCAATTATTTCTACACCATTAAAAATAATACTTTTTCATTTAATAAATGATAATTATAAATGATTAATACTTTTTATCAGATTACTGGTTATTATAAAAAAAATATGCTCTGCCAGTTATTTTTTCTTCGAAATAAAAAGTTTGTTACTGATTTTATTTCAAATTTAACAGATAATAAAATAATAGTTTTTCAACAAAGCATTCATTTCGGTAAACAGCTTTTATTTTATTATTATTTTATTTTTTTTTGTAGACTAAACAGCGAATACTTTTCAATTTTATTTGAAACTTAAACTAGTTACAAGACTAAAATATTGATAGGGGAGGAGATATTTATAAAAGTTTAAAATAAATTTGAAACTGTTTACTTTAACATAAACCAGTAATTTAGAATATAAGAACAGTTATTTGAATAGAAATTAAACAAACCGGTTCTGTTTCTATGAGCTCTTTCATAATTGAGCTATTTTTTTCTTCATCCAGGCTCGATATTTCATAAAAGAAATTATTTTATGATTGTTTAATAACAGCTGAACTTTGCATGTTGGGAAAATGGCAATTAAATAAGCCTGTATGTAAGACTGGATAGTCCCTTTGTTAATGAAACTACCCAGTTTCAATGCTGAGCTTAGGGGGTCAGTGCTCTAAGTATTGACCCCCTTAAGGGTCTTAGCAATAGAAAAGTCTCTATGTTCCATAAAGGGTGAGTGTATTCATAAAAAAATATCTAAGCATAACTTAATATTAGTAAAGGTATTAAGATCAAAAAATTTCCTTTCAGAAACAGCTCGATTGTTAAGAAGCATTAAGCAAAATTCATTATAATCCCCTACGGCAAAGTTCAAAATTCACTAATTTTTACAATGAAATCAAGGTCTTCAAACAAAAAAATAATATTAAAACAAGTCTATTGAACAACTAATTATAGAAACTAAACTCTATTAAACTCATTGAAAATTTACTTAATATCTTATAGAAGTGCATTCCAGGTAGTAGAACATATATTTTTAGACATTCCACCATACAATCAATGTATATCCAAATATCAAATTCAAGGTTCATAAATTATGCCTTTAGAATTACATATATGTCCATTCAAAAATCACCTAAATTAGACAATAGAATAGTAAATTTGCAAATATTTCAAAATATCTATAACTTTCTCTCATAAATTCACAGAAATGAGAGTAAAAAATATTTATATTAAACACTAGTGTATTGGAGATCAGTTGGTAGAGTACTACAAAACCCATGATAAGTTAGGAAAACATCATTATAAATCAAGTTATAATATCAATGCTCCTATTTAACTAATGCTATTGTTTAAATTAGATGATGGAACTATTAATAAAACCAGTTAACATATTTTCCATATTAATTCAGAATTTAGAAGCACCCGTCCCTTCAGTCATAATAACAACAAACCACTAATAAGTAAATTTATTATTATTTAAACCATTTTCATATAGAAATTTGCAATAATGAAAAAGTGATGTTTCTACAATAATAAAATCTGTGAAGTCTTGAAGTAAAAATTAAATTAAATGGAATAAAACAGAACAAGTGATGAAATTTCCGTTGATTCAAATTTTTCGTTTTAAATTCCTTTAAATAGAGTATAGAGATGATTGTCTTTGATTAAATGTGTAGAAATATTGGATTTTTAATGTAATGTAGGCACAATATTTAAATATTTTTCATTAAAAAGAATAAGAGTTTTCTAGCAATAGAAATTTTAAAAACACTACAAATTATTACACAATGGTTTATTATTATAAAAATGACTAATATTTCATCTCACATGACTTTCCTTACCACTAAGGGTGAAAAAAATACAACATTAAGATTAATAGATGGATGAACCACAATTTTTTTTTGCATGATTCTTATATCTTACCTATCTTGATAGAACAATATTATTTATTATCATTGAAAATAATAGAAAAAAATTACAGAACTAAATCCTAGCTATAAAGTTAATAGCCATAACTAGCAATGTACAAAATAAAAAAGTCCAATAAAAAGCGTCAGACTACTAAAGCTACCTCAGCTTATAAGTTGTTTGAATAACAATTCAAACAAAAAAAGGTTAGTCATACAAAGATAAAAAAATAAAATAAAAGGAGAATTTAGATTTGAAACTAAGTGTCATAATATATTTGCCATATCTTGTAGTCTATTAAAATATAATGAAACTCTAATTTTTACCAAATGTATATTAAAAAACTTGTGAACAAAAAAGAATTATGACTGAGAAGTAATATGTTTCATAAATGTTTCAAGAATCATTAAAAAAATACAAACTTTATAAGAAAATTTACATCTATTTTATGTAAAAAGTCAATATTTTATGGCTCAGTGACAATAAATAAAAACCTGTTCTTAATGTTGATATACCATAGATACTGTTTCAAACCATTTATCAATTCTTAACCAGAGAAAAATCAAATGTAAAAAGTTATTTTTAACAAAATTAATAAAATTATTATGGAAATGTATTGACTAAAATATGATAACAATAATGGTTAAGTTGGATAGCATAAATAAAAATATAAATATAATTTCTAATTCATTATTTTCTTAAGATAACATGAATCAACATCAGGATGAGTAAGAGGATACTATCCTTGTCATCATGAAATTATTTAACTGTAGGCAATAATGATAACAACTCATGATCCATACACAATGATTAATAGAATAAACTAATTATTGCTTGGAGATATGGAATTAACGAATATTTATAAATATGGTTTCCTCATGCAATAGAAAAATTAATAAATTACTTACCTCTAAAAATATGTCAGCACAATCATGAACAACAAGCACAAGGGTTCCAACCCTGACAAGATTGCAGACCCAAGAGAAAGCCATTAAACTAATAGTTGCCAAATGATGAACAAACATCTGCCAAAAGTCCTTACGCTTAACATCTCTGAATTGAGAAATGGTAAGGGACCAATAAAATGAACTTGATATCATGTAATACCACCAACAGTCTGAAGTAATACTCTAAAAAAAATTATGAACGGAAGTAAATTAGAATATCTCGTGTGATAACCAAATATTAGATAGTATGAAACATGCATAATGACTCAGATATGATTCAAGCAAAAAAAAAACAACAACAACAACAAATTCAGATCTTATCATCCACGAAAAACTGGATATTGCTAATACTGATAGTTAAAAGATACGCACTCAGGCCAAAAGGAAAAATCAACCATAACTTAAATATAAAATAAATTAGATATTAGCGAATTCAACATCACTTTAGCAATATGTTTTAGTAATAAAAGTTTTTCAATCTATCTAGATAGGAAAACGAATAATCACTGTCATTTGTGAACACAGGATGTAATTTGGCCAAGGTTTATCAAGATTATTTCACTATTCATAAAAATTTTACCTGATGTGGGTAATTTCTCCAACATTCATCAATATTCCAAAGCCAGGGTTTATCCCATAAACAAACAATGCCATAGATAAAGGAATAAGTATAATACAAACATCTCCAACTGTAACAATAAAATTATGATAAATGAATCATACTATCAAACAGAATATGACAAGATTAATTATAACAGAAAATAGACTGATATTGATGGTTAATCAATATCTTATCTAGGTGGTAATAAAGCACTACAATCTGTAACAACAAATTACCTGTTCTCACAAAATTTCACTAATGTTGAAGGTTTTTCTTGAGCTCTTCTAAGCCTGAGCCACCTCTCAACCTGTCTTTCAGTCATATCTGACTGTTTGGCTATACTAATGACTTCTTTATATTTCATTTTGTTATTTAACTTATAAGCCTTTTCAAGCAGATCATGAAATGGGGCCTTTTTTGGTTTAGAGCCCTTAATTCCAAGAGATACCCCAAATGGAGCAAAAACATACCTGTAAACATAGTGGCATATATAACTTTAAAGTATTATGTTGGTGATTCAGAAGATCAATGGATTATTTGAGTCTCAATAATAGACAGAACCAATATCATAAATTAAGAACACCCAAGGGCAAATAAGTTTAATCAAAACAAAATGTTACTACAGTAATTTAAGAAATCAAAATACAATGAACACTCTTTACCATTCTAACAAGTATCGTAGCATTAGCATTCCTATTGCCATAGGCAAAGGATAATACAAATGACTATGATTAGGATACTGGATTTTTTCATTTGGTTGTAAGTCAGCCCATGTGATGTTAGGAGGTAGCCAAACAGTTTCACTCCAGAACGTATCTAAAGCACTTCTTATGATATTCATTTCACTTAGTTAATCACTTACGAAAACCAATTATAAAAACATAACTCAGAAAACGACAGAAGACATATCACAAGTAATCACCTGGCGAACCGACAGATACTACCGCAATCCTACAACACTCCCTCACTCCCTCTTCATTGACATTGACAATTCCACCAACCATACAATTCCAAAACACATAGATTAAGTTCGTTTTTTAAATAAACCTTAATAATCTTATAATATAAATAAATTAATGGACAAAAGGTATTTGATTTATTCGTTTAAATTTTCAGAAGTGTTTTCATTACTTTACTTAATATTTTAGGAATATTTCATATTTCAAATGGTTTCAATTTAAAAGGAAATTGTTATTCTGTATTTAAAAAAAGTTAATATCTACTATTAATTATGGTTAATTTTTCTATAGAGTTTTATTGTCATTTGGAGAATAATGGTTTTTCATTTAGGAAATCTTAAATATAGCCATCATTATTAAAGAAAACAAATGTACCTGATGGTCTCAAGCCAGAGTTATTTTATAGGTCAAGTTAATATGAACGTAGTTTATCATAAGTTATTTTAACAATTTTTCCACTATGTTTTACATGGCTATTTGTTTTGTAAAACGCAGTCAGTGTTTTAATACTCTCGACGAATCGTGAAGTTTCCAGATTACCATATTATAGGTCGTTTTTCTTGTAATAATGTAACTCATTTAAAAAATTTGCCAATAACTATATTTAATGGCGGAGAAGCTAGGCCTTGGTCCCGAAGTACGGGAATTGAAAATAGGTGACAGTTTCTCTAGCAACAAAATAGCATTCCATACTCTCAGATGTAAGTACATACTTTCCATATGTATCCATTTCTTTTATTTACTATGGTGATTTATTGTGAACTATTGGTGTGTAAAGGCCAAGAGAAGTGTATTAATTATTGGATAGCTCTTTACTAGTTGTTTTATGCTTCATATAGATTTATAGTAGAAAATTATCAGGAGAAGGTTTAAGTTTATATTGGTTTGAATTGTTTTGTAGATGACTTCAAACCTGCAAGTGTGGTTTCTGCAAGCAAACATGCTTCGGTTGATGTTGGAGCCAATCATCAGATTACAGTTACACACTTGGAAACTGCTGGAGCACCCCAGACAGTTTTCAAAGGGTCTCAGCGCCCATACCAAAAGGAGTGTGTACTTATAATTGACCGAGCTACTGGAGAAATTACTCTTGAAAAACTTTCCACAAACATCCTGTTAAAGAAAACACGGTAATATTACCTAGCTCATATGATTTTTTAGTTAGTATTCTCCAATTAGGGCTTTATGTCTTATTGGGTTAAGAACAACTTTTTCATATTTTTGTTTAGTTATTTTCATCTTATATAACCTATTCTGTGGTTACTATTAAATCCTTATTTATTTATGCATCAGAAATATGCTGTAATATTATAAAATATAAATAGGTATAAGTAATGTATCTTATTTAGAAGTTGTTAATTCAAATTAATCAACTATCATTGCTTTAGTTTATATATAGAAATTATATAAGTAGTACTTCAATTCTCATTATCTGTATTTGAAGTTATGTTGTTATTTATTTTTTGTTATTTATTTCTATGTATTATTTGCTTTTAAATTGTGATCATTCATTAATAAAATATACTCCACTGTTTAGACAAGAACATCGGCCTACAAATTACAATTCTTCGGGTCGGCCTCCAACACCTGTTGAAAAGAAACCTTCCCCACCTCAAGGGACTAAGCACAAGAGTAAACCTATGAATACCAGTTTAAGGCATTCACCTTTACAATCTTCACCTTCATATCCCCACAGAAGCCCGACAATACCTCACACTTTCCATAAATCACCTCCTCAAGTCCACATCACAAGTTCAAGGTATGTAAATTTTAATTATTAAGTTTTCTTCATTATAAAATTTCATAAAAGCTTCCAATTGTCAAAGTGTTCATAGATAATAAAATTTATGACTGCAGAGAATTAAAAGAAACATATCTATGTATATGAAAGATCTGGCTTTTTAAAATAATATATTTCTTCAGTATATTTTCGATGGTTCATTAATTCGATATTTCTAATTCTTAAGGTTAAATGGAATTATATTTCAAGCAGTATTTCCTTCAACGAAACTACTAATAATTAAGTGTAGATACATTTTTGCCACAATGACATGTTTCTGATATCTTGAATTCTATCTTTATTTTCTAGAGGAAATAAAGTAATAACTAAACTCAATTACTTTATAATGAGCTACTAAAGTATTTAGCTCAGGTCGTAATTAATTAATTTATTTCATGTTATAACTCTATAGTTTAATAGTGAAACAGCCATTTTTAAATTGGTATGTTGAAATTAACTGATCAACATTAGTTTCCTTTGCAAGGTTTGATATGCTTTCTCCATTATCAATGCCCTTGTTGACCTGTAATTTTGGTTAAGAGAAAGTACATCATGTATCATTGTGAAGTTATATTGAATTGAATATGCTACAAACATTTTTCCATGATATTTTAATGGGTTTAAGACAGTGCCTATATTTACTATTACATCATAGCTGGCTAATACTGTAGCGATAATCTATACTTTTGATTGAGCTATTAGCATTCTGTAATATTTATAATTATTGCTGATAGCTCTTAAGCCATAGGATGATATGAATCTGAATTCGATTTTTACAATTAAATGTAGCAAAACAAAAAGATCAGCTCTAAATGTTTTTCTGCTTTGCGGTTGATTATATTTGTCTATCTGTTGCCTTTACCAAATACTATAAACAACAGAATTATCTTTTATCACTGCATTCTTCTCAGCAAGAAAGTGTTCACTCTTTCTAGAACAACAAAAAGACTGATTTGTTGTTGAAAATGCATGCAAATGCAAGGCTATTTGTTGAAAATGTGTTCTTGTGTTGACATACCAGTTTTATAATCTGGCTTTCCTCTTGTAAACACAGCTTTAAACATCTGTAACCATCGACAACTCTTTTCTTATAATTCAGATTATTAGCTTACAATAAAAACATCTCAGAAGACATAGATTTTGGATAGAAGAGCAAAAGAAAATTTGTATTTTTTAATTATAACTTGAAACTAACACCAATATTAACATTGAGGTCTCAATTTTGTCGAATATATATATTTTTTAAATTCTAACGAGTTAGTTCTTATTCTAGTGTTTTTGTATTTTATCACTAGGAATTCATAGGCTTTAATATTTATATGTTGTTCAATTTTTTTGGTTATATTGGTCAAAGGTGGATAAAAAAGTGTTCATGTTTAAAAACGGAGGTTTTTCATTTGTTTTGTAACAGTCAAAATGTATATTTATATGTTTTTTTTTGAGGGGGCTAGAAGGGGTTGGTGGCAGTGTAATGTAAAGACACTTGAGAACCACTTGTTAAGTTTTGTTGGAACTTGATACATAGGCATTAATAATTACTTAAGAGTGCCTTGATTGGTTTTATATCTGAACCATTTTTTGTCAGAACTATACAATAAAATATACGAAAGATGGAAATTTTATTTTATATTATTAAAATATGTCGGAGGAAAAGTATACATGCTGCAATTTTATGTATGCCAGTTTTAATTAAGTTGACTTATGTTCTTGATAACGAGATTAAAAAAAAAATAGTCGATAAACAGTGAGACATTTCAGTAATCACAGTTTCATTAGATTACTATAAAAATGTTGAAAATAAGTTAACATTATTGGTGATCATAATTTTCGTTAAGAATATTTATCTTAAAAAAATATGTGAATGGATGTTGGCTCACTAGCTGTTAGCTAATCTCCAAACAGCAGTCTCTTTTAGATGGTTGTTTTTATTATTGTTAGTATGGACATTTCATAAAATATTTTTCTTTTTTATGATTTTTGTCTATCAATTCGTGATTAACCTCATGGAGGTAATTTCCTAGCAATATGAATTAAGAAATAATGATTCAGTCTAGAAAAACCACTAAGAGAACGCCATTCATGAAATACCATTTCATTGCCTACTATTTTTGTTGGTCTCATCTCCTATTATGAATAATGATTTAAACTTTTTTTTTCCATCTATAAGTGAATATCATATTTATTTTTATATTTTCTTTTACAGTCCTTCACCAGCAGCTAGCCTTCCAATGATAGAAGACTTGAACGATAACTCTTCCAGCAGCTTTGATTTAGCTAATGCTCTCAATCTGCCAGAGCTTAAAACTTCCCCCGATTTCTCAGGAGGAACCTTCAATGAAGATGTAAGGAGTGAATTTGATTTATTAGGAAGCTAAATATTCTAGTATTTAGCATTCTTATATTTAAATATTTATAAGACCTACTTTGTTTTAATGGTTTGGTAGTTGTTAGTGAGTGTTAATGCACTCAATAAATATGGGACGGCACTAATCATTTTCACTTTATCTTTTATAGAAATAAATGACTTTTTTGATGTTTATTTTATTGACACTGCTGCCATTAATGGCAGCAAAAATTAGCTTTTTCTAGATGTTTTTAGAAAAACAAAATGTTTGATTGTTACGAACCATTGTCGAGGAAACATAATTATACTAAACAATGAAAATTAATGTCTTTATGATTTCAAGAATTAAGCTACAGGACGACGGTCTTGATAATTCAAACCTTAACTAACTCTAAATCTCTGGTAATCCATACATGAAAGGAAAAAAAAATTTGACTATTGAGAGACTGAACGGAAATTGCTCTGTTTCTCAGTACATATTACTGGAATTCCTTCGTGTGGTAGTTTGGAAATCATATTGTGTTGTCTCTAAAAATAAAACATTAAAACTAGATGGACATCCAGAAGTGGAATCTCTTTATAGATTATAGATTTATAGCTATCTATCAAATATCACAAGGTGTCCAATTTTCAGGAATATATTGGCTAAAAAGACAGTTTTTCTTTAATAATTTTTTAAAGACGGATTACAAAGCAGATTTTAATGCCAGTAAAGGTTGGCTTGGTGTTTTAAAAAACAGTATTTTAATTTTTATTTCACTGGAAAATTTCTTTACATCCATTTGATTTTTATTTATTTTATTTTATTATAGTCATAAAAATGCCACAATGGCATTTAATGCTTCCTTATAGTAAGCGAATGGATATAGCATCGACTACTGAATCTTGTTACTTTTATGGAATTTATGAGATCAGGCATTTTCTTTAGCAACAAAACCAGACTCGACATTAATTTTATGATCATTTTCAGAAATATTTTTTTAGTTCGGAATATGTTTATATTTAACTGATATTTTCGTTATCTTGTGCAATTTTTCCATCATTTTAATTTTAACCCTTGATGATGCGAACAGGCCATGCAGTCTACGTGTTCTAATTATCGAGACCCTCCTGTAGTGGTTAATCTTTAACACCTTAATCAATTTATTGAATATTTCTCTAGTAGGGGAGGCCTAACATACCATCTAAACAATTAGTGTTTATATGTTGTTTGCCTACTAATTATCATTTCATTCTAATCAGAGATCATATTTTAAATATTAATTCTTATGCGATTTTTTTTTTTTTTATAATAGGAAGTGTCTCCTGGGGTTGGAATTCTGACTGATTCATCGAGTGATTCCAGTAGCAGCAGTAATTCTTCAGACAGCGAAAGTGAAAACGAAAACGAAAAAGAAAAGCCGAAGAAACCAATGAATGGTAATTATTAGTTTTAATATCTGGACTTCAGGGTTAAAAGGCACTATGTAATTTTAATTAACTTTTCAGTAGAACAGTTATAGGGTGGTTGATATATTTTTTTTATACTCCATAATACAAGTATGTGGATGATAATAATAAATTGCCGATACATTTTTTATTACATTTCAGGAAGTTATTTTTTACTGTGTATTCTAATAAAAAGTCCAAGCCTAAGTTTTGTAAATTGAATAATGGTCAGTAAGGCTTGTTAGACCAAATAGTATATAGACATAATGTGAAAAATGTAACTAAAACATAGTTGTGGGAACTGTTTGTTATTACATCATAAATATTTTATGTTATTCTTGACCGCCATTCAAACCATCTTCTAGATTTTTATGTTTCAGGCATAAATGCACTGAGGCCTTCGTGATCGTAACATTAGAAGTTTTTAGGATACTAATAATAATGAATCTATATGGATAGGTTTTCACAGGAGATAAATAATCAGAAAGCGGTAATTGAGATTTTTTATTGTTGCCGAACATCAAGTTTCAACCCAAACATATGTTTTCATCAGGGCATGTTTGGAGTACTGAAGGTGTTAGAGTACTCTGAAAGTGTGTGTGTCTAAAGGTATGTGCGAGTACTTTAACACCTTCTGTACTACAAACATGCTCCGATGATGACCTAGATGTTTGGGTTGAAATTTTGGCAACAATAAAAAATCTCAGAAATGATTGCTTCCTGATAATTTATCTCCTGTGATATGTAGTGCTGTTGGCTAACTTCCTTCAATAATTTGATAAGCTTTAATTACATTTCTGAAAGTGTTTTTTTTACCGTGTAAGTGTAGTCTAATATCTTGTAATGAGGTAGTATTACTAGTAACAACTACAGGGGTTGGTCTCCCAGAGCCAGTACTCTGGGTGTACTGTACTATACTATACAATATATATGCACTATATACTATACAGTACAGTACTGTACAAGGGACTCCTAATCCAACCCCAGAGACAATAATACCAATGTTAGTCTATTTCATCTCCATTTCTGTCTCAAACCTTTTCGTTCTTCTGATGAAGTTCCAAAGGCATGGAAATTTTATGGAGGAAACTTTGATCACAGAGTGAATATATAATTAATTTTTTAGGCAAAGTGGATGGTTACTATTCAAAGACAAAAATTGCAAATTTAAAATCTACTAATTTATCAAATAATAAATCACCTTTGGTTAACATATATTTTATTTCTGTTCCCTTCTGAATCGAATTTTCTTATCTTATAACTAAATATTTGCAATGGAAATAATGTATCTAAGTAATTTTCAGTTAGTTGTTTACGGCCCCGTTCTTCTGGTTTTGCAGTAACAATTTGTCCAACTAGTAAAATAGGCATATACTAAATCTACTGTTGTTTTTTTTCATTAACTAATGTTTTCTTGAAAACAAATCATAGTATTTATTTATTCTTTATTAGTATTTGGCCTTTATTTTTTTTTCAGAAAATAAAATTTAAAAAAAAAATCTTATTCAATTTATAGATTTACATTAATCACTATTTTAGTGTTCGCTAATATTTTCTATTGAGATAACTTATTATTGTATACAAGATAATTAATTTAATTTAAAAATTGAAGTACTATATTATTAAAATACTGTGTGCTGAATTTCTTTGGAGTATTTGAAATGTTAATGTGTGTTTTTGAAAAAATAAAGTATTAATTCTAGTTTATCTTATCTTGGAATTAGCCAATAGACAGTTCTACCACTTGATTTATATAATATAAATAATGAATTAAAAACATCAGAATTAGTTTATCTGTTTAACTTTTTAGTGACTTATATAACATAAATTATGAATTTAAAGCATTGGAATTAGTTTATCTGTTCTATTTTTTAGTCTATTCTTAAATCATTTAAGAATATAAATCTATCTCTCTATAAATTTAAAGATGAAAGATTATATTTATATTTTTTTTTTTGTTTGGTTTAAAATTGTTTTTTGTTACACAATATTTATTGGTTATAAATATTCGAGTTATTACAGGAATGTTATACTTTTAATTTGAATTTCCATTTACAGTAAATCTGATGGTACTTAATATTATTTTGTAATATTACCACTCCTGTAGTAATCTTAAGAAAGGTTGCTTTAATTCGTATTGAGTTCATGCTATAGAACAAAGGCTCTTGCATTTACAAATGATAAGATGAATTTATTTTTTAATAAAAATTCATTTGAGTTTGTCCAGTTGATGTTTCATTTCTGTATAAATGAACTGATTGTTAATTTTCTCGTTCCAGGTCATGTTAATGGCAAAAGCTCTCCTTCGTTACCGATGATGCCTGAACATTTGTTGAACGAAGACCTACAGCTGTCCGAATCAGGCAGCGACTCCGACTGAATTTTGTACATAATCTACCAGCACCCTTTACCAATCAACGGATTGTTTATTGCAGGTTAACTCTACTGTGAGAAATTTACTAGAGGAATATTATCCTGCAAAGAATTGTGCATTTGCTGTTAATTATAGTTTTTAAGGATATATATATTTTTTTCTTTTGATTTTTAGCTTTTATATTTTTATTACTGTATCCAATATAGGAAACATGATTATATATATATATATATATATAATTGTATTTAATGTATAAACTATATTGAAATTTTTATGTCTAACTTCAAGAAAGTGAATTAAAATTATTTTTATCAAATCATGTCCTTAATGAAATGTGATATTTTATGTATTTGCTCAAGTTTGGTTTTATTTCCAATTTTTAATCTTTATTTCTTATTTCTTTTTCTTTTTTTTTTTAGATAATTTCTTTTATTTTTGGTATGTTTGTTGGCTAATAAAAAAAAATATTAAAAATCAAAACAAAAAAAAAGGAATGCGGAATGTATGTGCAATTAATAATATTTATGTCCTCTATTAAATTTAATCACAGTTTAATAATTTGTACAGAATTCGTGATTTTTTTTATACTTTTTCGAGATAATAGAAATTATCAATTTTAGATTTAATTCTAATTTTAGAGAATGTACAATCATTATCTTGCCGAACATATAATGTATGGTACGAAGTGTCCATTTTGAAGTGTCCTTGTATAGGTCTAATACGGTATTTTAAAATTTTAACTCTGTTATAAAAACTAAACATATGTGTTTAAGTTTTGTTGTGTATGCTAATGAGTCAAATAAAAGCATCATTTAATTTTGGCTTTATTCTTTTCTTTATGAAACAATATTCTGAACCAATTTTTCTAATCAACACATTTCAGTTTTTAAATTTTATATTAGTAAGCTCCTAGGTAAGACGAACATGAAGGGAATGAAGAAAAAAACAAACGGTTGAAAAATAATCTATGTACTTCACCATTTACAATAATAGTAAGTGAAAAATAAAATAAGATCACACAAACACAAAGAAAAAAACCTGTCAATAAAAATTTAGTGAATTGGATTGGTGAAAAAAAAAATTCCTTTACCATTTTCATTGATTCCACTCTTACCTATATCTCAAGGTCTACTACTACTTTTATTAATTCTCACCTTTCTTCTAGCTTGGAACCAATCAAACAAGCCGTTTCTGAAATATCGGCATACCTCAGAAAATACATTTGCCCATGCGCAACCAGAAGTACTGTACAGAATTTAATAAAATCGATGCAGCATAATTATTATACCAAAAATCACCTGTCTTTTAATTTTGAGCCAAATTGAATGAGCTCTGAAATATCCGCGTATCAAAGTAAATACATTTGCTCAACCGTAAATACAGTACAAATATGGAATTTAATGAAATTGATATGAGATCATCTAGACATCAACCTGCACAATTGCTGAAAATTTCATGAAAATCAGATAAACGGTGGCAGGTAGATATACCCATCACATCGATTTGATTAGGCAGACAAGACACCAAACCAAATTTGATCCTTTCTATCTTGAAACATAAAATTTGAGTGGAAATTTTCAATTTTGAGACCAAATTATTTTTCAACCTCCACGAATACAAATCTTCCCTATCTTCGGTTGTGAGGAAGGAGAACTGCTTAACACAACTTCCTTAACTTTAATAGATAAGTTTTTCTGAAGTATTACCTACAGATGAAGGTACTAATTACGTCTTTTTTTGGAGGAGGGGACGTGATGAAGGAGAGGAATAATTAAGGAAAACAGGAATATAGCTTTATACTGCATGATTTATGCAGTTGTAGTTTAGTGACCTCTATTGAGGGGGCGGCTGAATGGGTTTATGCATGTGCAAAACGTGCGTTGCCCTTAGCAACCTGTAATAAACTGATGTTAATGAGTTCAAATCCTGGTGCAGGGGGCTCATAACTAGCATTAATTCTCTACCCTCACACATGGCCTGGGGAAAACCGTACATAGTCTGAAAGACGAGGAAGGGCAGAAAAAAAAATGTGACCTCTAATTCAACAGACTTCTTTGGCATTAATTTCTGTAAGTTTTCTTAAAGTTTGGAACAAGATTTGTTTCCTTTTTTTTCACTTGCTCTTCCTCTCAGAATGGAACTTGTACTTCAGGAAGTCAGCAGTTTTAGTAATCATATCTGTCATTGTTTTAGCACATAAAAATAAATTGGTCATGGACAGTAGTAGTAAAGAAGTGTGAAATGAAATCGTTAAGAAAATATGTTACATAATTTAATAACTTAAATCAATCGAACCACTAGGCTTAGGTACAATTCATTTTATGAGTTTGTTTTAATGTGTCAATACTTTTTAAAATTTCATAATCATAAAGATGTTAAATTCTTGAAAGCTAGTTAAAGTCACATCAATTTGAAACAATCAAATTTTTAATTGTTTTTTAAAGATCTTGAAAAGAGGTAAAAGGTTAGCAGTTATTGTTTGATCTGGTAGATTCTCAAGAACTTCTAATACTTAGAGGTTTTGTGTTTTTGATGGATAAATTGTTAATGTCGTTGGAGAAATGGCCTTTACTTACACTTGAATATAAAATTTGTGCTCTAATTTATAACTGATTAATAATTCATCAAATGTTATACCATGCACTCATATTTTAGGTAATGTCTCCCAGAAAAAGATTTTTCAAAATATTTCCCCCATCAAAGTTTATGTTAAATCCAGACCTGTCTATATATTCGACTTATTTTATTTAAATAAACAAATTGGGTCAAATTTACAAATTACCTTTTAAATAAACAATAGCCTCTAACAATTTGCTCTATGCTGAACATTGAGAACCTTCCGCAGCAACCTCCATCCACTTCAATGTAATTTTGGCATGAATTTCCTCAGAGAAGATTTTGGGAATCAGCATGTCCTCCATTCTTGACATTTCATAGCCTCACAAGCTTGTAATAGCTTATAACATCCACAGTATAAAAATTCTTAAGTTCTTAGTCATAGCGTATTTAACTTCACTTTTATGGGTCTGAAGATTTGTAATATTGACCTCTCAAATAACTGAAGCCTTTTTTGAGACTTCTTGTCTTTCTTCCAGTTGTTTTCCCTTGTAATTGTCTCCTTTTGTTGAGCCTATTTCTCTTTTATTTCCTGTTAAATCATTGTGCCTCATACATCTATATCACTTTTTTATTTGCCTCATTTCTATTATTTGTCATAAGTCTTGGATTCTTCATCAAACCATAGCTAGACTTGAAACTCATGTAGTTCATAGCTGAATAAATCACAACTAAAACTTAAAAAGATTCAATCTTTTATTAGAATTAGTGGGCAGACATTTTTAAAGTTGATGTTTTGTATTAAGAGAATCTTATTAAACTAATAAAAAGTAAGATCTCATTATTTACAAAAATCTTATCCTTTATTTCCCTATGCCTTGACTTTTAGCTTATGCCATCTAGCAGCCCAGTGTATGTCTTAATAAATGAAGTAAATTTAGTTGGGGTGCTCAGTCAAAAAAGGAAGGCAAAAAATAAATTATAATATTTATTTTTTACATATGCCATATGTAAAAAATAAATATTATAATTTATTTTTTGCCTTCCTTTTTTGACTGAGCACCCCAACTATTCTTCTCTTCATTGTCCACGACAGTCAACCAATTACCAATTATGAAGTAAATTTAGTTGTTCCTATCTTCAATTATTCTGCGATGAGAGCAATTATTCTATGATTTCTTGACAGCGCAATTAACAACCAGCATCACTATTTTTCTTATCAATTTTTTTGCTTTTCAGTGTATTTAAATGTCCATGATTATTAAAAGATACAAAAAAAAAAAAAAAAAAAAAAATCAAACTTCCATAGTGGAAAACAAAGATTACATTAGCTTATTTTAAGAAGAAGTTAACATTAAAATATTTTGTCTGGTACAAAATTAAATAAAAAATCCAATAACATACATATACCATATGTAATTTAAATCATCATTTTTTTTTTCATTTTTCTCATATTGTTTTGAAATATTTATGGTTAACTTGTATCTTCATTGTATTCATAGCCATTGTATCCAATATACTAATAAAGTTTGTTTATTTAAACTGTTTGAAGAAAAACATCCTCATTTAATAGGCTTTAAGTTCATATTAATTAAGTCATGGCTTAAAAAATAATTATAAGGCGCCAGGCATAGACGACATCCAGGCTGAACTTTTTAAATTTGGTGGAGATGAAGTTTGGGATGAGCTCCATAAACTTATTTATGATATATGGATGAAAGAAGAGGTCCCAGATGAGTGGAAAGTGTCGGTCCTATCCCCAATATATAAGGGAGACAAGCTAGAGTGCAGGAACTATCGAGGCATAGCACTGCTTGGCATAGCTTATAAAATACTATCCTCTGCCATGGTAGGAGACTGATATCACACATCGAGAGGGAAGTAGGTGAATATCAGTGTGGCTTCAGGAAGGATAGATCGACTATTGACCAGATCTTTACCGCACGACAGGTGCTAGAGAAGTCACTGGAATACAATGTCGACCTACATCACCTCTACATTGATTTTCAGCAAGCATATGACTCAGTGGATAGGCAGATTTTGATGAGGGATCTCCTTTCTCTGGGTGTGTCTAAGAAGCTCACTCGCTTAGTAGAAATGACAATGGCAGATACCAGATGCAGAGTGAAACTACAAGGATTGCTGTCAGAGGAGTTCTCTGTGCTTTCGGGAATAATGCAAGGAGACACCAAGGCTACTCCCCTTTTTAACATGACCTTGGAGAAGGCGGCAAGGGCCATAAGAACCAACCCTGGAGGTACCATCTTTGACCGCTTCGCACAGCACATGGCGTACACAGATGATGTAGAGATTGTGGCAAGGACGCTCCCAGCGCTGGCGGGTGCATTGAAGGAATTTGAGACCGCTGCAGCAGCTCGAGGTCTACAAATAAACGAGGAAAAGACGATGTACATGAAGAGTTCAAGACATCGCCCTCATCAAGACCGGACTCTAAACAGGCCAACATGGGTTCCCAGTATGCAGAGAGTTCAAGTACCTGGGATCCCTTATGACGGCAGACAATGATGTAGGAGCTGAGATAGATAGCTGCGGAAAGCCGATGTTTTTATGCCATACAGTGACTACTCACGTTTTGGAGACTATCAAGGAATGCCAGTTTGACAATCCATAAAACATTGATTCGTCCGTTAGTCCATACGGAAGTGAGACGTGGGTTATCTCAGCAAAACATGAGAGGGCTCTTGGAGTGTGGGAGCGTAAGATTCTTAGGAAGATTTAGGGGCTGTATGCGAAGGTGTTTGGAGGTCACGATGCAATCGGGAGTTGCGACAACTCTACAGGGACACAGATCTCGTAAGTGTCATTAAGGCAGGACGAATAAGATGGTTAGGGCATGTGGAAAGGATGGCAGCATACCGAGTACCGAGAAAAATATTGTATGGGCGACCTGGAGGAGCAAGAAGGAGAGGAAGGCCACCACTCCGTTGGCTGGAGGATGTTGAGGCAGATTTGAGACAGCTTGGTGTCAGGCGGTGGAGGGCTGTCACATTGGACTGAGATGAGTGGTGACGTATTGTTGAGAAGGCCAAGGTCCCACGCGGACTATAGTGCCGAGGAATAGTAGTAGTAGTAAAAAAATAATTAAAAAAAAAAACTGACAATTGAAGCTCAAGTTTGTTATCTAGGACATCTATACTAATATTTGAGATCAATTTCTCTTCAAAAAGTTAATATTTTTTTTTAACCCGAATTGCTAGAATTCAGAAATCGTAAATGGTCAAATAAAATAAGAATGACCCTTATGTTAGTTCTCTAATCCGCAAAATTCTCTTCCCCCAACAAATTCAAATTCTCTCTTTTCTCTTTGCTTATCTTGTATTTATCCAAAATCCATAATCCCACTTAATTCATTTTATATATTAGTTTCTTTCATCAACGCCTATAAGAAAAACAACTAAAATCTTCCAGTTCTCTAAATATTTATAATAAAAATAATGATATGATCAATTGATAGTAGAAACAATTAAAATAAATTATATTAAATTTATATGAATAATAGTAACATTTGTTACGTTTTCATACAAAATTGCTGTTAATGATTTAACCAAATGTTGAATAGATATGAAATCTTTTCCCTAAATAAGTGCCTCGAAACTACTTATTTGTACTTATCATCAGTTACCTTAGTTGAACAATGTTAAGTAAAATAATGGTAATATTCGTAATGCATAATTTTTTGGTAGAAAAAATGTATAGTCTCCAGTCAGCTTTTGTATGCCTATAGATTACAGATGGACTGACAGATGGCACCACAAACAGATATTTTAAAACCATTTTCCATCTATTAAACAAACAGTATTGTGAAGAAAGCCAGTAACATTCTTTACAACGTTTTTCTCCAGATTTTGAGGACAAACCTATTTTCTTACTTTACAACCAATAAAGTATTTGAGACATCTTAAAAAGGTATCTATAATTCGAAATATCATCATATACCAGTCAAATTCCCCATGGTTAAAAATTAATGGATACAGATTATGTCATATCAATGCATGAAGAACTTCACATCCTCACCTTGGGGCAGTAAAACTTTTTTTACATTCACATTGAGATGTTTCTTATGGTGGTGGATTTATTTTAATGTCACCATTTCATTTTATTAGAAACAAAACAAAAAATAATACCATTATTTTTTTTTCAACCTGAAAAAACATGTGAAAAACGAATGTAAAGCCCGGGAGCATCAAATGGTCAAATAATATTAGAATGACCAATAAACCTAAAATGTTGTAGCAACTTCAAAGGGTTTGGCAAAAATAATTTTAACTACTGGAAATGAAGATGTATCATTTTGATGAATCCATCAAATGAACAATATCAAAAACGACATACCTCAGGAAAAAAAAATGAATATCAGTTGTAGTAGCGCTGACTAGATCTTTGATATATAACAAGACATGTATATTAAGACCTATCTTTAATCAAAGCCCGTTTTACAATTAATGATCTAAGTAAAAACTGATTCAGATCAGGTGATATATGAAAAATAAAAATACTGGTTGAAGTTTATAATTATAAAAATATATATACATACAAAATTATTGCTAAGCAATATTATAAATTACAGTATAAAATATTTTTCACAAGATCATTTCTATAAGTATTTTTAATTTAATTATGAACTAATTTAAATGAGCCTTATTTACAAAATATCACAAAAAGCACCCTTTTGGTTTATAAAATTGTAACTACTGCAGACTCTTGTCCTACTTGTGCCTAAGAGAACTACTTGACTTGTTTCCAGTTAAATCTAGAACAAGCTGACCAAGTTGGGCCCTAGTTGCAAGTGGAGAATCACATGGGTTGTATTGTGTTGGGCGCAGGAAAGGAGTGGCTGGCATACAGTTTCTTCTTCTTAGCCGTAACGCAGGGTCTACTGCTCTAATTATACTCAAGCCTTGCCTGGTCAGCATGTCAAGCAAGTTAGTTGGTTTGTCATCTCCAGCATCTTGCGAAGAGTACAACTGCCTAATGTCTTTGTCCATTGACACTACTGGCAAATGGGTCATTAATTTGCGACCTAAAACAAATGATTCAACAATCAAATTAAATGTTTCTTTATAAAACACACAGCTTGTTTAGTCATGAAAATATAAATACAACAGAAATATTAAGATTAAATCAAGATAAACAAATTTAAAATTAATATATGGAATAAGAAAAAAAAAAAATAGACTGACAATGATTACCTTCCAAATAATCAGCAAGATAGAAAGATATATGTCGCAAGTTTTCTAAATCAAATCGTCCAGTGTTCTTATGTATTTCAAGGACAGACTTTTTCTCAGTATTTCTGTATGCTATTGGAGGATAGAACTCGGAGAATGGTATTGGACTGTAAACTTGTTTTCCATAAATAGTACTCATTCTGACCTAAACAAACAAAGTATTTATAAATACATTAGAAGTTACATTTTAAAAGAATATTTTCACAAAAAAAAATTTTTAAATTAGCTATACCCTGTTTAAATAATCAGTTCGAATTTCCATATTCGGTTCTGTCATTAGAACCAAAGAATCAGGAGCCAGCTTCTTGCTAGCAAGATCTAAAATAGCGAAGTGGAGTAGGTAATCTAACATTGGAGGTCCTCCACCAACATCTGGGACCTGTAAATTAAGCTAAATATAATTCCATTCATTCTGATTTTTTAAAAATATTTTAATATAAAAATTATATACAAGATTACCCTTATTGATATCCAAGTAATTTTACAATCTTTGTGATATTTTGAGCTTAATTTCAAAGTGAGCTCTTTAATATCTTTAAAAACGTCTGCAACATGCCCTTTTCCTGGGGCATTAGGTTCATAAAGCAACACCTAAAAACATAATATAAGTAGCTTCATTTTAAATAATTTAATAAAAAAAATCAGTTGAAACTAAACTTTAGTAAATACAATTCCATACCAACATAAGAAAACTGAGGTCCGATTGTGAACAGGTCTGAGCATACTGCTTCATGAACTCACTTGCCATAGTTTTATCCATTTCCAAAGTAGGGAGAAGCATGTACACTCTTGAATTTTCAGTAACATATGGCATTTGCAACATTTCTACTCTGCCTAGAGTTTTTGTAACTTCTACTCTAAAATAAATAAAACAATTAATAATTAGTCTAACAGAAACTAATTACACGAATATGTTCGTAATGGTGTTGGCTGAACTGTCAGAAAACAAGAATGAATGGAGGAGAATTTTGGAAAAACAAGATATTACAATAAAAGAGTAAATTATTCTGTAGAGTAAGTCTACTCTTATTTCATCCTCTTCATCTTAATATAGAAAATGTATCCACAAATATAAATTTGACATTTGTGCTCTTACATTTTCAATACTTAAAAACTTGAATAATTTAGTATAACTAACCCATAGTTCTTCTCAAGTAATTTTATTATTGAATGTGTAATTCATTGCTGCAGCTATAATAATAAGTACTATATAAAATACTAGTATATAGAGATTTATGAATGAAGGATAGGATAAATAGCTGATTAGAAGGAAAAGAAACATCACAAATTAATAATTAACATTAATATTGTTTTTATTTACTCTCAATAATTATGTACATTATCTAATTTAAATTTACACCTCTTCAATTCGGGTCTTGCGATCCCCCCCCCCTACTTCTACGATGCCCAACGCCTTAAGAAATTGCTAAGGTTGCCTTGGCGTTATTATTTACGCAAATGTATATTAGGTCTCGGATTCGAGGTTATAATAAATATAAGATATAAATCTCAATCCACTATAAATAAAATTTTAAGTAGAAGCAACAGAATTGGACACAGGGCATACTGTTGTTCATGTTTAGGTCTATCATTATATGATCGCCGATTATTTCTGTATTAGGCTCAGAAATATCAAAAATTTTGTATCTAAGGTGTTTATAAGAAAACGGAGGGGACTTTTAAAACGCTAAATTAATATGCCTTAAATAAAAAGATCTAATAATCACTTAGACCCACAGAGGTTATATCAATAATTAGGACGTTTCTTAAATATTTTATTTTTTTCATGCCACTTTAAATATTAAAAATTAGAACAGCAATGAAGATTAAACAAATACATAAGCCATGGAATCTGAAATAAATTATCAACAAAGACAAACTACTTTATTAAAATATTTAAAATTGTGATTAATTTTCATATTTGTGAATACGTACGTGTTTTTCAGATCAATGATGAAATCAATTTGTTTATAAATAATTAAACAATGCATTTTATTTTTATTTAAAACCAATCTATAAATATGTATAATTAAATTATCTACATTCAATAATTTGGATAAGTGTAGTTGGTAGGCGTGAATTATTGGGCGGAAAGTTACTAGCTACTATTAAATTATACTCGAATAGTTTTGCGGTGTAAATTAAATTAGTTTTTCTTTATAGTATTGTGTGATTAACTTAATAAATGTTAAAATTTCTATATTTGATTCTCTTTCGAACGTCTAACAATAAAAATAACGTTGAACTGGTTTTAAGAAGCTTGATTACAGTAGTCTCAAATTCCAAGTAGGTGAGTTTTTTATGCAAGTTTATTGAACATTAACTTTATCTTGTCTCTTATTAAACATATCCTTTTTTTCGTCTACAAATTTCATTAGTATGGGAACAGTATATAATTCTTCTGTTTTACATTTTATTAATGTATAAAAGGATTTATTTATTATGTATAATTTTTACAATTCTTTTTAACTGATATTTGTTTTAATATTACTTACTCATGACGATCGAAGTGAATAGAATAAAAAGTCTTAATCAATGGTCAAGTTCCTAAATTCATTACTAATGGATTGGCGAATTTCGGAAGTTGGTCGATGATCTCAGCAATGAGTTTAGGAACTTGTCCACTATAATATCGATGAGCACTAGCGGATTCAGGATTTAATTTTGGAGGGGGCTTCAGCCAGAAAGCTTTTTTTTTCTTCATAAAAATAACGATAATTACTTTGGAAAAAAAGAAAGAAACTAACCACCTATATGAAATGGTGTTTAAGTGAATCCTGAAGTCGTTTTAAATGTAATTACACCAACAATAATACTTTAAGAGATAATTTTTAATATTTTTTCAATATAACATGGTTATATTTTACCATTTTGGGAGCGGGGGGGGGAGGGAGGGGTAGCTTCAGCCCCAAAGCCTTCCCTGTAGATCCGCCCGTGTCGATGAGTTTAGGAAGAGTCTGATGTTTTATCAATCAAGATTTCAGTGCGGAGTTTAGGAACTTGCCCAGTAGTTCAGCCAGATATGCTTCCTTCCCTTTCAGGAAATGGATTTTACATAAGTGTGGTCTTATGATGAGTACTCTAATTCTACACTCACATATAGAGGAGATGCCATTGCATTTTTTTTAACAGATGATCTATGAGTGAATTGTACATGAACAGTCTGAGAATTACTATCCTTTTTTATGGATCTTGCTGTAATATGGGTTAGAAGGGTAATTTAGTGTTTGTCTGCATAAGCGGATTCATTACTTAGGAGAGGCTAAACCCCGAAAGCTTTCTTTTTTATAAGTGTAACGATAATTACTTTGGGAGAAAAAGATGGAAACTAACTAACTATATGAAATGGTATTTTAAGTGATTCTTGAAGTCTTATTAAATGTAATTGCATGAACAATAATACCTTTAGAGATAATTTTTTAATATTTGTTTCATAAGAATCTCCTCTCCCATAGATCTGCTTGTGTTCGTATGAGTGACAGTTTTCTGATTGCCGCATTTTGTATTGACTTGCTGTCTGAAGTTTGTTACGATTGGAATAAAGAGCACCTATATAAATGATTGCTATGCCATTCATCCTTTTAATTCAGTTCTAGTACGCAGTAAGTTTGAAAACAATGAAGTACAACTTTGCTGTAAATGAGCGCTAGGCTTAACAACTTGAAGGCTATATTTGGAGGATCAAAATTACATTTTGATCAAACCGTTTGAAGCACAAAAGTAGCATCTGTTTTAACAATAAATTAAATTGCTTGAAGTTTGTGGTACAGAACCCTTTTCATTATTAATATCTACCTAAAACTTTATGAATAGCTTCATCACATTGTAATCTACAATTTTTTTATGTACGAAAATTCACGGAATTGGGGCGATTTCAATCTGGGAAATCATTGAAACCTTTATCTATTTAATTATATACTAAAAATGCAGGAATACCCATTTGCTTTCCACTTGGAATGTAAGATAATTTTATCAAGAAAAAAAGTTGGCCTACAACCATATTTGCCGTTAGGCCTATATAACCTCATTATTTTGACATGTTGAGGGTGGAGGTCTCGTCCAAACAGCACAATATTTGAGGATAGAGACTTGCCAAGTGGTTGCCTCTGCCTAATTTTAGATATACTTGACAAATTTTAAAACAACATTTATTGTGTAATCTATGTGATCTTTGTCTAAGAGTCATGTTAAAACAGCACTAGTGAAGTAGTATCATATCATAGCTCGATTTAATAAAAAAAAAAAAAAAATGAAAATTAAGTCAAAGTTTAAAAAAAAACTATCAGGTATGACCCGATATATTTTCGGTACACATGGTGAGTTGATATTAAACATCTTTTAATCGAAAATCAAAATCAAACAATAATGATTTTAAAAGCTGAAATAAAACATACCTCTTGATAGTCTCCTTTCCGGTGGAGTCCTTAAAAGCCAAATCTAAAATGTAATCCAGACCCCGGGAAGGATCAAATCGTCTGTAACCGTTAACAAGTCTTCTGAATTGTATACTTCCAACATATTTCTGGGTTAACCACTGTATAGATCTATTTTTTACGTTCTACAAAAATATGTATACATATTATTCATAATTTGATCCAATTTAAAATAGCCAAAAGATTAACAATATAAAAAGAAAAAAAGTACTATGACTTACATAAACGTCAAGAAGATCTGCTCCTCCAAGAGGTTTCAAATTAATGAAATCAGATGTAAGATACATGTTCTTATCATCGAAATATTGCCAGGAGAGAAGATCAAACCTACTTTGAGGTTTTTTTGGAGGGTAACTACCTGGCGGCCAAGCTAAATCACTTATATCCAACGATTCTTTAAGTTCTGCTATTAAAGCTTTTTGTATTTCCAGGTAGCTCTGAAAATTGAAAGTAGATTTCTGTAAATATAACCTAAATATTATTTAATAATCCAAAATAGAACTGAGGGTCATTATAATTGTCAGTCAGAAAAATAAAAATTGTGCTGAGTTTGATTTTGTTACATGATATAAACTAAATATTATGAGTAAGTTCATTCACACAATTATTCATACTTATTAATATTAAGGCTTGGAGATTAGTGGTCCCCTTATATTTTCACACAAACTTGGTTAATTTCGGCATTCTATAATACCGAATTATGATAATGTGATAATTGTGATAGTGTAATATAAATTTTCCAATTGAAGTATTATGATTGCAGAGAAAGTTGATACAATTACTTATAGAAAAAAAAAGAACTATACCCCTTGAGTTCAGTACTGTTTTTTGGTCAACAGTTATGGAAGGATGTGATTTCACCGAGATCACACTCATCCATGTTTTTCTCCTTTAATCAATTAATTAATCAAGAGAAACGACTTTACAGAGGCTAGGTGTACCCCAGGAAGGTCTCCGGACCCCAGGTCAATCTACCAGGACCCTGAGCTTTAAAAGTCAGTGCCTACCCAACTGACCTAACCTGCTACCCACAATTATTTAATACCATGAAAAATTCTATATCATTACAATATAAGAATTTGTAAGTTGACAATTCCCATAAGCCACTTTTTATGGTGTACTTGAAATTTGGTGGGTTTCCATTCTATTAAGAATTTTATGTGTTTTGGATGAAGAACATCATAAGTTCACCAAAATTGGAGTCACATCTTAATTATCAGTTCTATTGGGTTGCTTTGATCCAATATACATCAACGAGTGAATGCCTGAACAACGAGTGTACCCATGAGGTACAAGATGAGAAAGCGGACTCCTTTCAAAGTGGAAACAATTTATTATGAAATAGTAACAAATTTAAATTATAAATTTTTGAAAAATTGATTATAAGTGACTGCCTGTTAGTATATAAACACTTTGAAGGAAATTAATAATGAAATAAAGGCTAATTTTCTATTCTTAATCATATACTGTCTCCTTTTGTTTGGCCTAGCTACACTCTTGGTGTGGACCGGTTTTGTGTTTATAAAAAATTTCATTTCAATGACTTATGGAGTTTCTTAACTCACAGATACATACGCCGTACTTCTGTTCAAGTGTCACTCCACGTTGACAAGTGGACCAATCTCATGAACCCACTATAAATGGGATTTCAAGAATAACCAAGGATTGACAATTGGTTCACAGTATAATTTCCCTTTATTTAAAATGTGAATTATAATTTAGGTTAGCACAAATGGTCATTTTCAGTTAAAATAGAGGCATTAATTACACTGCCACTTTCGACTTCCACTCACTTAAAAGAGATAAGGAAACTTCGACGGGTCCTTTTTTTAGTTGAAGTCAGGTCCTTTTAAATGGTTTGGTCACTACCTTCTGCCTTCGATCAGACTCAGGATTCTGATAATAGGTAACAACCAATATATTTAGTAAGCAGAGGAAAGGAAATGAAAGGAATATCATCACTCTTTGCACTTATTATTATTAATTTGTTCACCCTTCTATCCACTTGTTCATTTGTCCCTCCATATCTTTTACTTCATTCCTTCTTCTTTTAATCTTTTCTTAAGATTTGCCAGATTATATCCATGATTACATATATAATATCCATTCACATTACTATATAAATCTAAACTATATTACATTTCTTTTTTTTATATACAATTATTGGTACCAATTTAATTTATTTTAGTTAAATACCAGTCTTACACTTAAATATTCTTAATACTTCATTTGCCCTGTTTATATCTATTAATGTTCTTAATATTTTTATATACTTTCTATTTACACTGTCTATAATTTTTTTGGAATATTTTAGATAAAACTCCCCACAAAAACATGCAACTCCCACTATTTTCTATAGCCTTATTTATCTTGTTCGTTCTAACCCTGATACAGTCATGCATAGCTGGGTCGAAATGTACGCTTCAAATAAAATAGTTTTACACTATTTTAAGAAGTTTTTTTTACGACTACCACACCAGACCATCTCCTTTCACAGTATTATGCCATGGTCAGCCATTGAGTACTTAATATATTTACCATTTTAAGCTATATTAACATTTTAGATGCAAATTCCATAGTTTTGATGTATAAAGTGCTTATTTAACTCACAATGTACTGAAGTATTAAATATAAAAATACCTTTGCTAGATGAAGATGAAGTCTATAAAAAAGATTTGGCTCAGTTACTTGATAATATGTCACTGCTGCTGGAAGATTTTCCGATTCAACATTTTGCTTATCAGTTTCTGTTAACTCAACACTCATAAGATTTAAATTCTGAAATAAATGATTCTAGTAATCTACAAGTTAGAATAGTATAATCACAGAAAGATCCTTTAATAACATACTTGGAAAGTAGATTGGCATGGCAATTGAGAAGCATGCAGAATGCATCTACCAACATTATCATCATCGGCATCTGAAAATGCGTTTTTCACACACCAATCTAAAGAAGATTGTATCTTTTTCAGCACATTATTGCTGAGTAATATACCTCCATCTGTAAAGATTAATAAATGATTATTTTTAAAATAATTAAAAGTGCTCAGAAAACTCTTTTAAATGTTTACATACCAAGAGTGCAATAAGTAGGTGCATCTTTCTTCGACATTCCACCAAGATGAACTTCTTGACTAACACTTATTTTCTTGACAATATTCATTAAATGCTTAGCGTTAATATAGCTTGTGTCTCGAGTTAAAAAAAAGAAATCATATTCTTCTAAGAAATTGTCAGTTAAATATTTTAACATATGAAATGGTTTTAAAATTTCTCTAGTATCAACAAACCCAACAATGCCTGGTAACTTCAATGTTATCACATTAGCTTTTTCAGCTCCAGCAGCATCCATGAAAAACATCAATTTATTGACAAGATGTGAAGTAGTTTTATTTAATGCAACAGCCAGTGTGCTAACAGTTTGTTCACTGGTCAGGATTCCGATGAAAAGCTTCTCCTTAATACCAAGTTCAGAAGAGTAATACCTCGGTCTGATTAGGTTTTGAGGAACTTTTTTTGCCTTCTGTGGTTTCCCGGCGAGATTAATATGAGGTTCATATTCATCACTTTGCACATTCACTAAATTAATCGGTTGTGCATAATAATCAGTTGAAAAACAATCACTACTTAAATTGGAGTATAACGTTATGGAATAACTAATAAAAACCCCAAGTAGCAGGCTGAACAAAAACGATTGGTGTTGTTTTAATAAAAATGGAAGACCCATGGTCTCAATTTGATTTAATTAGTAGGCCAGTACAATTATAATATTGACATTGTGTAAAATAAACTGTTTTATTATTATTGACAGGAAGGTAACTCGGTGTTATATTCCCCCCTCTTTTCATCTGTCGGCATTGACAGTCAGTGTTACCAAATTTTCTCTCTTAATTATCTAAAAAAATCCCATATCGCTGATAAAATCTCCACTTCTTATGAATAACGGATTCTGATTTTTAAATTTATCATTGATTCATTTCTCTTTTTTATTAGTCATTAACAAGCGATAAGCTTTTATATCACATTTCCTATGACTGTAAAAAGCAATTATTCCATCACTTATAAATAAGGATAATTTTCTTGGTAAAAAAAAACAAAACATTTTTATTACCACTTTAGATGACAAAGAATCGAAAAATCATTATTTTGAACATTTTTCTTAAAAACAAAAATTGTGTTTATGCATTTATATTTATTATTAAACATTCCAGTCATAGAACAAATCACGGGCGGATCTACGGGGGGAGGGAGGGCTTTTGGGCTGAAGCCCCCCCCCAAAATGGAAAAATATAACCATGTTTTATGGAAAAAAATTTAAAAAATACCTCTTAAAGTATTATTGTTCGTGTTATTACATTTAAAACTACTTAAGGAATAGCTTAAACACCATTTCATATAGGTAGTTAGTTTCTTTCTGTTTTTCCAAAGTAATTATCGTTATTTTTATGAAAAAAAAAGGTTTCGGGCTGAAGCCCCCCCCCCCAAAATTAAATCCTGGATCCGCTAGTGGAACAAATTAAAGCTTTGCGTTAATTTATTGTAGTTGTTTTTGCTGAAAACACGAATACTTTTAGGTGACAGGAGATGAAATCATGAATCTGAAGTTTTTACCTAATACTTATTTCTAAATAGCCACATCAACATAATTAATGTAGACTCAAAGCTTATTAAACGAGGAAGTTTTTCTAAAAGTGGGGTATCTGTACTATAGTTAGAGAATGATTTTAAAAAGTCGGGAATAATTTATGTTGTTTTTAAAAACAGAACTTAATATAGGCCATGGTAAAGAGCCCTTTTTAACAAATTATTAACACCCGCCTGAAACTTTGGGAATAGCTTCATTTCATCTTTACCTACAACTATTCTATTTACGAAAACTCTTGTGATTGGAGCGCTTTCAATCCAGAGGCCGACAAACTTTGTTTATTTAATGAGGTATGAAAAACTCTAGGTACTAAGAACCTAATAATTTGTGACATGAGACGGCCTTGTCAGGGCTGGATTTTTCAAGTTTCTTTTATCCGGATTATTTGTAATTTCTGTCGTTCCTTCTTTCATTCCCTCCGCAGCTTCAAATGCCAATATAAGGATAGTAGTGTGATATTAGGCCTGAATGTTTAATAACACCCTATTGCTAGTATAGCATGACCAAGGATATGCACGCACTTAGCAATTTTCCTTATCTATCTTCTTCCATCTTTTTTTTTTCATATTATATTGTCGAATTTGGACTAGCTAGCAGAATCTGGAGGTTTTCCCGGCAAATGTCCTCTTCTTCTGCGGAAACTTATACGAAAGTAAGATGCCACTGCCATCTTTCACCCATTAATTAATCCCTTGAGGAACTAACTGAGGAAACTCATTTTCAGAGAGAATCAACATAGATGCATAGACCGTGAAACATAGCTCGAAATATTCCAGGTCCAGTGAGGAACAGGGGAACGCAGTAGTTCGGTAACTGTCCATTAGTCCACCTGGACGGATTGAAATTTATTCCGTTAAAACACGGAATGAATCCTTCCCATAGCGAACCTCCCAATGAACTATTGAATGAACTAAACGTTTCCATGTAAATTTGAGTACAAAGCTTTTTAGCTTTGACATCATTAAGAGATGGATAATATGTACAAAAAAAAAAAAAAATTGAAAAGTGAAATGTTTAATATTTGGCTTTGGCAGATTCATATTTCCCACAAACAGATATTTGTGTTGATTTGACCGTCTTTCCAATTATCAGAATTCTTAAAAACATTATTGGAATTATGGATTACGTACAATTAGTTTCTTCCGTAGTACAATTAGTTTCTAGTTCAGGAATATTTTTCTGTTTAGATTTTTGTAGTTTTTACATGCCCCGATTTCTCGATGATGGCGCCCGTCATTTCAATTTTGAATGATCTTATCACACTGGTAAATCTACGGTGAAAAGAGGATTTTGTTCATTGGTCTATATATATTAAATTATAACGCATTTGCAGCTTCCAAATGTTACCATGTAAGATAAAAAAAATTTACCCTTCAAAGTATTATTGTTCTTATTATTAAGATCTATAATTTTTTTTAGGCCTTAAGGTTTTAACTTAGACATTATTTCATGTAGACCTTCTCTTTTTCTCCCAGAAAAGTTATCGTTAAAAAAAAGGGAGAACAACTGTTTTATCTTCATAGTAGCCATCTACACTACCCTACCTAAGAGTTAAAACCCTAGCTCCTTCCTATTATGTATTGTGCATTAAATATACATTTTTTTTTTCTTTATTGAGCTATATTTCTTCCTAGCTCCTTCCTATTATGTATTGTGCATTAAATATACATTTTTTTTTTCTTTATTGAGCTATATTTCTTCTCTCACAATTAAGGACAAATAACTAAATTTTAAAAAAAGTTACCATTATTTATTCATGGACACTAGCCATAAATACTGAAAACCATTCAGTATGTTGTCAGAAAGTAAAAAATATTGATAGGCGCCAGTGACTCAATGGCGTCCCTTACTACATTGATTTTAATATTTACATTTAAGCGAGAAGATCACTCACTTTGCTTCTTTTCAGCTTCCTTTCTTAGTGTAATCTCTTCTCATTTTCCTGTTGTTCTTTAGTTGTGCAATCTTACAGAAAATTGGGACTTTTTTAAAAAGACGTGCGACAAATTGTTAAAAATGAGGACTGAGCTGCCAAACTCGGGACGTCTGGTCATCTTAGTGATAATTACTTGGGACCTAGGAGCCGAGAAAGAAAATATTTTATATAATTTCAAACAAAATTTATGTTATTTATTTTTTCCTATCGTATGAAAATTTGCATATAAGAGTTTTTGAGTTGCGAAAAAATAATATTAACTTTGTTTCTCCCTTAACTTAAAAATATATATATATATATATATATATATATATATATATATATATATATTTACTCCCATATTGCTACATCGCTTAATCCGAATTATATTTCTTCTTTCATAATTAAGGACAAATAACTAAATTTTGAAAAAAGTTACCATTATTTATTCATCGACACTAGCCATAAATACTGAAAACCATTCAGTATGTTGTCAGAAAGTAAAAAATATTGATAGGCGCCAGTGACTCAATGGCGTCCCTTACTACATTGATTTTAATATTTACATTTAAGCGAGAAGATCTCTCACTTTGCTTCTTTTGAGCTTCCGATGAGTGATATAGTTATTTGAGTCTCCTATGAGTTATTTTATAAATTTTCCTTCCGTTTTGTCCGTATGCCTTTCAAATTGAATCATCTAATACAAAAACAAATGACCAGTGTATTTTCTCCTGTTCTCTCTCTTAGCGCCGCCGCTAAGAGGCAAAGGGATGACATCCACTTAGGATGGCCGAGACTATTATGGCGTTTGGAAACTGCTAACCGGTAGCTAATAGTGTGAAATGTGTGTCAGCTAAAGTAGACATGTGCAGTTTGATTTCACCAAGAGATCTCGACGCAGCACCCCCTAGGGATATAGGGCAGTTTGCTTCCACTTTCTCCATCTCCCTCGCACTTTCCACTCCACCCTTCTGCATTTAGCCCTCTCATTACCTATCCTATTAAGAAAACTGTGTAAGGTGGAATTATAAAAGCTTTATTTGGAGAGCAATGAAGCAGTACTAACAAGTGGAGTTTACAATCAGTGGGTCACCGATTTCAACCATTTTTTTTTCGGTGATGCTTAAGTTGACCAGATTTTAACATGGATAAATCGGGATACCATCGACGGAGGTGAGGGGGGATGGAGGGAGGTTCTTAATTAAAAATTTGGTTCAAGTTCAAACAATAGTTCAAATTTGTTGTCACAATAATTAATTTTAAATAGTAAATCTTAATCAGATGACATAGTATTCAGCTGATGTAAGGTTGAGAATTTAGTTCTATACCCGTATTTTCGAGAGCGAATAATTTGATGGTGTATTTGAGGTCTAATTTATGACTCCAGTAATAACACAGTTTTTAAGACTTAAATGTTTTGTGCCAGCAATTTGTACACAAACAAGCAGCTTTTTTTTTCAAAATGCTACGAACTTATTGAAGGTGACAATATTTCGGTAATCGAAGTTGTAAAAGAATTTAATTTGATCATGCCCGAAATTCAACCTTTTTTTATCAATTTATTTTTTTAATGACGATACCTAATTAAAAAGATCAATTTCAGGTTTTTCATTATCATTAATCCAAACAATGGTGGTCGAATTCTGACAATAATGCGAACTTTGCTAAGCATTTCTTGATAATTATTCGTTAGTATTAAACTTTAACATTACAAATTAAAAAAAAAAAAAATGTAAAACTCATATTCTGGTGATATAGCTAAATGGACGTCAAAAACCGTGTAATCTGTTTCCATTTTCCTGTTGTTCCTAGCTTGTACAATCTTTCAGAAAATCTATTTTAAAAAACCGTGGGACGCAGGACAAATTGTTAAAAATGAGAACTGACCTGCCAAAATCGAGACGTCTGGTCATTTTAGTGATAATCACTCGGGACCTAGTAGCCGAGAAAGAAAATATTTTATATAATTTCAAACAAAATGTATGTTATTTATCATTTTCTTTCGTATAAAAATTCGCATTTAAGAGTTTTTCAGGTGCGAAAAAAATATATTAACTTTGTTTCTCCCTTGTTTTAAACAAATATTTACTCCCATATTGCTACGTCGGTTAATCCGAATTGTTACCATAATGCAGCTAGCTGCCAAATATATTTTTTTCAAAATGACCTTGTCTCCAGAGTAAAGATTTTTTTTTTTAGAAAGAAACAAAGTTGATAAAAGAATTTTTATAGCAATCGAAAAATTAAAATTTTTGCAAAC